ATCCTCCTGCCTCAGCCTTCCAAGTACTGGAATTATAGGCATGTGCCACCACTCCTGGCCCCGTCAGAATCTTTTAAATAGGAGTGTTGTGACGTGATTTATTTTTATAAAGCTATCTGTGTTATTATAAGATTAATACATAGGAGAGGGGGGAACTGGATAGTGTATATACTAAGGGCAAGAATTCAAGCAGGGACCCTAGTGAGAACATTATTCCAGGCAAGAGCTGATGACACCTGTGTGATCATTTACACCTTTTACTTTCAATCGTGATAACTGGGTTTATTTATATTTTATATTTTATGCTTCCCTTTTGGCCACTGTTCTTTCTTTTCTCTATTTTCTGGCCTTCTTTTATATAGGTTATTTTCTCTACTGATTTGAAAATTAAACACTGTTTTTCTTCTTTTATCGGTTCTGCATGAAAAGTCTAAAGTTAATCAAAATTTTAATTTTTTCTTCTCGAAAAAAACCTATAGATTTCTAAAAGACTTACATAATAACCAAATGCAATGTATAGACTTCGTTTGGATTCTAATTTGAAGAAACCAAATGAGAAATCTTACATCTTTTTTGAGATAATTTGTGAAATGTGAACAGTGCCTACACAGGTAATGGTATTAAGGAACCTAGATATAATACTGGTATCATAGTTTAAGTTCTTGAGAGTAAAAGATATTTGTAGATTAAATATTGTGATACTTGTTTTCAAATTTTCTGTAACAGTGGTGTTTGTTTTTTTGTTTTCTATTTTTTGTAACAGTGTTTTTAAAGAATTATCCTCCTCCCAGATAATATGGACCTTAGAACCTAGAATTTCATTTATCTCCCTCTGCTACTGTCTTGTTTTTTCAATCTATCAGACACTTTTCATGGTTAATGCAATCCATCTTCTTTACTTTTCACTTACACTTCACTCCTGCCATATAGGATCAATTCCATGCTGCCCTACATATAATTTTTAGAAGTGCACTGCCCCGCCTGGTACACCTACAGTATCTGAAGAACCAAAACTTCTGCTTCTGTTCACGGGCTGGAGATTTAGCTCAGTGGTTCCGATGCCTGCCTTGCAAGCACAAGATCCCAAGTTCGATCCCCAGTACAAAAAACAAACAAACAAACAAACAAAAACCTTCCGTTCACTAGTCACACTAGCCACATTACAAGGGCTCCACAGCCTTATGTGGCTGTGGCAATACTGGACAGCAGAGAGATCATTCTGTTTAAAT